ATATATATATATATATATATATACATACATATATATATATATACATACATATATATATATACATACATATATATATATACATACATATATATATATATACATACATATATATATATCTCGTTGGTGCAAAAGATTATGTTGGGGGCTTCTCTATGGTCAAGTCAGTTTTGATTTGCCGCCTGCAAATGAAAAATATATTTAATTAGTTCAATAAGTTGAGTTTAGAATGAAGTTATACATGAAAGAGAGTTATATGCAGTGGCCATCTTCTTCTCCCGAGTGTTATGCTGATGTAACATGACTTTTTATTTTCTTCAAGAGTTTGACACTTGCTATCGAGTGGATTTCCTTGTGTCAAAACTCGATTAACATAAATGATGACCATATCAATTATAAATCATCTAATCAGAAGTATTTTATACAAATTAGTTTGTAAAAGATGACATTTCCATAGTATTTTGGGGAATCATAGTGGAGTGCATGATCATATAAAACAAAATTGCTACATTCCAAACTCGGCCCCACACGCTACTCTTTTTCTGGGGCCCAATGGGCTAGTGGGCCAGCATTTTGGTTACCCAACTATTAAACAATCCAACAACAGCCGACTCTAAGGACTTTGCCCATACACGTGTCCTCTCCACGCGCTTACTCATCATGCTTGTGGTTTGAGTTCACCCACGTGGCAAAAGAGGGCTGGCTTTTAGGTAATTTTATTTTCTCGGTAAATACAGATCTCTGTCGGGTGATTATTTCCGAATTATAACACTGTCGGTTTATATTATTAGGAAAAGAATGACCTCTCAGAAAATTTTATATACTTCACCATCATATCACTTTTCATTAATGCGTTGTATCTTTTACTCTGCTGCACCAAAAGAACATGGCAAGAAAGTCAACTACTAGTTCAAGCGAGTTAATGGGGGTAATGAGATTGCTTTGCTTGGACTCGAATTCAGATTTCGAGCACTCAATCTCAAGATAGTGTTGTTTCCACTGACAAATGTCTCCAATCATGCTCGAGGCTCGCCGAGAAGCCTTACCATTGCCGACCATGGAAAGAACAAGCAAACATGGGCGAAGCTCCCTTATCCTCTCACCATGCGCCCAATACTATACATTCTGCCCCATGCACAAATTCCGCAGCTGCGTCCATTTCTTCACCTCATTGACACAAATGCTTGGCATTTTCTGGTCGTCCTCGAACGATCATTGGACGAATCAGTGTAGTGCGCGGTTGGCCAACTTGTTTTTGAAGATGGTGATGATCTAATGATGAGCATTTAGTCGGTCATGGGCGGCAAATCATAAAGCTTTAAACAACAATCCGTCAGTGGAAGAATACGTACGAGAGGATAGACCTGTTCTTTGTGGTCGCTACTCATCGCCAAACACCCATAAATAGCTCGATCTCTTCCTCTCCCGAGTGCACAACATCGAGTGTTGCTATTCCTCCTTCTCTTCTTCTTCCTCGTTCTGAGTTGATCGATCGATGGCAAAGGATGTGGAGGCCGGAGGGCGCGGGGAGTACGGCGGGAAGGACTACAGTGACCCACCGCCGGAGCCGCTGGTGGACGCCGAGGAGCTGACCAAGTGGTCCCTGTACCGCGCGGCGATCGCGGAGTTCGTGGCCACCATGTTGTTCCTGTACGTCACGGTGGCCACCGTGATCGGGTACAAGCACCAGTCCGACCCCGCCGTGAACCCGACGGATGCCGCATGCAGCGGTGTCGGCATCCTCGGCATCGCATGGGCCTTCGGCGGCATGATCTTCATCCTCGTCTACTGCACCGCCGGCATCTCCGGTCTGCTCTCCCTCCTTCTCGTCTCAAGCTTCTTCCCTTCTTCTACAATCCTTGACGTGCACCGGCTGCGTTCCCGCAGGTGGGCACATCAACCCCGCGGTGACGTTTGGGCTGTTCTTGGCGCGCAAGATTTCGCTCGTCCGCGCCCTCCTCTACATGATCGCGCAGTGCCTGGGAGCCATCTGCGGCGTCGGGCTCGTCAAGGGATTCCAGTCCGCCTACTACGTCCGCTACGGTGGCGGCGCCAACGAGCTCAGCGACGGTTACTCCAAGGGCACCGGCCTGGCCGCCGAGATCATCGGCACCTTCGTCCTCGTCTACACCGTCTTCTCTGCCACTGACCCCAAGCGCAATGCCCGCGACTCCCACGTCCCGGTCGGTAACTCTCACCACACTCCTCCCCCTCCTCGTTCTCCACATCATCCACAGATTTCACCCTAAATATCGTCTCTGCAGGTTCTTGCTCCTCTTCCAATTGGGTTCGCAGTGTTCATGGTCCACTTGGCCACGATTCCGATCACCGGCACCGGCATTAACCCGGCGAGGAGCTTCGGAGCGGCCGTCATCTACAACAAGGACAAGGCCTGGGATGATCAGGTGCCGCTTTCACTTGGTTTCCTGCGCATCTGTGTTGGTCTCGGTCATAGCAATCGGTCAACGAAACCTCCCGAGTTATCATGTTGATGGTGCAACTGAATCCAAGCGAGGAGGATTCGTCCTCCCGCGCCGATTGAATTAGAAGCTAACAGGCATCTTCTATTCGTTTGATGTGGTTGCAGTGGATGTTCTGGGTGGGGCCGTTCATCGGCGCCGCTGTTGCTGCAGCCTACCACCAGTACATCCTTAGAGCCAGCGGCGCCAAGGCTTTGGGTTCGTCTTCCTCGATCTGAAGGTCGTCGGTGGAGCATGGAATTGTAGATAAAAAGAGATGGCTCTTAAAAATGCTGGATGTCGTCTCTGGGGTTCACCTTGGATTTGGGTGTTGTGACGTCTCTCTGCGCTTTCTTTTACTTCCACTTCCACTTGTACCTGCAATAAAAATATGCTTGTCAATCAAGTGTTTTTGACTTTTGTCATCCTTACCGATTTCATGGCTCTTCCCATTGCAAGAAAAAAAAAAAGAGGATCTTCAAATTTATGCTATCCACTAAAATATAATTTATTGACAAAAATGTCACTAAATCAGACATATGTATCGCACCAAATTATTCAAATTTAAAATTACCAAAATATTATGATAAATGTTGTCAGAAATATGTATCTTTACTGATAAAATTTGACCGAATTTATCATTAATACAACTCGTAACCAAAAAAAAAATAGCAATTTAGTGATGAATATGTATGTTCTTTTCGTGATTAAAGGTTTTAACTATGTGATCTAACTTGACGAACGATGATAATAAATATTTCTATGTAGATATATTTTTTGCCTGTAATTAGTGATCATTTTTCTTGGAGAGACAAGTAGAATGAATCAGTTCACCACAATGACAAATTAGTGAAGCTGTGACGAAAGGTAACCTTCCATATAATTTGAAATGTCGATCGAGCAGTGTCAGCTGCACTCTCTTTTGTCAGTCGGTAGACAAGCCGAATAGAGAAGGAACAGCACCACCCAGCTTTCTTCCATATTTAAAAGCATGGATGAGACAATTGGTCACTGGCCCATTAAAACAATCGCCTCGATCGCATGGACGCACTGGGTGGAGTCAATCGATTACTTTTCTTGGAAGACTTGAATGTGGAGCAGTTGCATCCGAATTGGATATGCATCCACGATAAAGTTTTAACTTCTTTTCTCCGTTGTTGTCTGTTTTCTATTTTTCCATTTTCCAACAAGTGATATCAGAGGTCTTTTGGTTCATAAATATTGTTTTCTTAATATCATTACAATAATTTCTAATATTTAAACTAAACGCGTAGAAAGGCAACCATGCGATGCAAGTGGGACACCGTACGCAACTCGTGCATGCCAATCGTTTACCGTTCGATCTGAAGCCAACGGTCAGATCTGGGTTCTTTTTTCTGATGGAGTTGGTCCTTCCGTGGCCTCGTGTGTGCCGCCCGCTTTCATCCGCCCATAAAGCTGACGCATGAAACGTGGCGGTATGACTCGTCAAAAGCGGACTTATTTACGTCACCGTGTCAGTGCTGTTCCCCACGTGTCCAAATCTCTTCCCCTCGTCATATTCGACGCCACCTCGCGTCGACAACCCTCACTCTCTGGCACCTGGAGGTGGAAACAATGGCGTCTCGAGCGTTCCTCCTTGCCCTCACGATCTCGTCCCTCCTCCTCGTGCATGCCGTCCTCGCTTCCGCCTCCACCGTTCCGAAGGTCCGCGGCAATCCCGACCTCGATGAGGAGGACCTCAGCTTCCTCGACGAAGAGGAGGAGGGCGAGAAGCCTCCCCACGCCGGCGACTTCTACCCCGAGGACGACGGCGCCTTTGGCGGCCTCGACGGCCGAGCGCACGACGCGACCCCCGTGTTCGACGAAACGGACGTCGTGGTCCTCGGGGACGGCAACTTCAGCGAGTTCATGGGGAAACAGCGCCACGTTATGGTGGAGTTCTACGTGCCGTGGTGCGGGCACTGCAAGGCCCTGGCGCCGGAGTACGCGGCGGCCGCCACGGCGCTCCGTGGCGAGGACGTGGTGCTAGCCAAGGTGGACGCCACGAAGGCGAACGTGCTCGCGCAGAAGTACGACCTGCAGGGTTACCCCACCGTGCTCTTCTTCGGCGACGGCGTCCACAAGGACTACCCCGGCCAGAGGAATAGGTAGGCGTCCCGGGACACAGAACCGAGCTCTTTCTTTTCCTGGATCTGATCCGCTAAGATAAAAGCCTTGGGATAGCTGGACACTGTGCTTATCAGATGATCGAGAGCAATGGCATTTCTACTGATGAGTGCATTGTCGATGCAGGGATGCAATTGTTGCCTGGATCAAGAAGAAGATTGGACTTGGAGTCCAGAACATAATGTCAGCTGAGGAGGCAGAAAAGATCTTGACTTCTGAGAGCAGACTTGTTCTGGGCTTTCTTGACTCCTTGGTGGTAATTTCCTCAGCCCTCTTGGTTTTGAACCTTAGTAAACTTAGTGCTGATTTGTTCTTTGAGAAATATAAATCCCTAAAAACCAATTAACTTTACTGTTGAAAGAGAACAATATAGTTTAAGAAACAAGTGCATGGTGTGCAAAAGATTGATGCAAAGTGTAAGGTGGTCAAGTCCAAATCGTTTCCAATCAGGACAAACATGTCAAACTTGAGTTCTAGGATAGAGTATAAATTACATTGTATAATAAGATTAGGTGACAAGAATTGTCCTCAAGGAGATAAATTTTCTGCTTGCAAGGGGTAAGACCCTACACCGGTTACCTTCCAAAAACACACAGTGGCGAGAAGAACCTTATGCCTTTTCAGTAAATCAGGTTCCGATATTGGAAGAACAAAATGTTTATCTTGTGGCTTTTATCATCAGATTAGTGAATAAAAAATGGACATATTTTCATATGTTGCACTGCTTCTGATCTAGCTTATGGTTTAGCTTATGGTTGCAATAAGTGTTGATCTTGATAGGAAGAAGGAATAGAGTTATCAAAAAGAGGAAGAGTAGGCTAATTTCAGAAACTCTATCTATTTTTTGACCTAGGTTTATATAGTTTCCAAAGATACATTATATTAATTATATTCAAAATAAATCATTCTATTTAAGAAATCTTTTAAAGAACCAATAACCAAATTAATTTGTCTTTTCATATACATTTAATATATTTTTTTCTTGATGTAATGAATCTGCAATGAACCTCTTTTCTTTTGATGAGAGGACTTCTATTGAGGGAGGACATGTTTAATCTTTCTCGTTTTCTCTTTTGATGAATCTTTCTTTTGATGAGAGGACTTCTATTGATGCAATAATCAAACTTGAACATGTTTAATTCCAACAATAAGATCACTTCTATTGAGGGAGAACATTTGATGAAAATTTTTCACAAACCACGTATTCATGAATCAGAAAGATTTTAAAATATAGTTTATATTTTTTGGACATAATTAATGTCAGGTCATTGATAACATTTTTTTGTTTTCGGATGTCTGTGATACAATTGCATCAGCTAAGTGATTTCTTCCGCATCGTCTTCTTTTGTTTTCCTTGGATATTTGCAGGGCGCTGATAGCCAGGAGCTTTCCGCTGCTTCGAAACTTGAAGATAATATCAACTTCTACCAAACAGTGAATCCTGACGTTGCAAAACTTTTCCACGTCGATGCTGATGCTAAACGCCCTTCTTTAGTATTGCTGAAGAAGGAGGCAGACAAGATCTCCTACTACGGTAAACTCAATTTTCCAACGATATGAATGTACCATCAGCTAGGGATGGCAATTTCAAAAACTGTACCTGCGGTGCACCTGCTCGATCCGACTCGATTGGGTTGGGATCAACCAAATTTGACACCTCAAGCTTGCCCCCTTCCTATCCCAGCTAGTCCCCATCCACGGAAAGAAAGAACAGCGTTAATAATTTCATATTAGATAATTTTCTCTTCTATTATTACAAATATTGATGCATTTTTCCAAAAGCATTCACATCAACAATATGATGAATTTTTTGTATATTCAGGTAGAGTATTATATTATTTGCCATCTCTAGTCCCTAATACTTCACTGAAAGCATAACAGGTGGTTATTGACACTGTGGTTTCGATTCACGTAGATGGTCAATTCAGTAAGGCAGCAATTGTTGATTTCGTGATCGCCAACAAGCTTCCCTTGGTGACCGTACTTAGCAAGGAAACTGGCCAAGACTTGTTTGACAATCCTATTAAAAGACAGGTAGGCCTTACCAAGCTGAAATATGTTATTCCTTTTCCTCGACTAATTTTATTCATGTCTAGAAATTGTCTTGTAATCTTTTTCTGTCAGCTTTTGCTCTTTGCAATGTCAAATGATTCCAAGATCATCATGCCAGCATTCCAGGAGGCCGCAAAATTATTCAAGGGAAAGGTAAGTGCTAATACTTCTCTCTTTGCAGTTTATGAATGTTGACTAATTCTCATTAGAATAAAATACACTTTTGTTTCTTCTCATTTCAATCTATTGAACTTTCAGAATTTGTCTTAAAGGAGGTAATAAATAATGCATTAGTATGGTATAATTATAATTAGTTTGTCGCTTGAAGTTTCAATTTTCTTTTTCTTTGCAATGCTCAATTTTGCAAGTGAAAATATGACAATAGGTGGTGGTAAGTTATGAACTAACTATAGGTGAGTAGTTGTGTGTCATTTACAACATTTTTCCTTCGTTTTTCATCTGTCTCAGCTTGTTATCTTTTGAGCCATCGATATATATATATATATATATATATATATATATATATATAAAATTATTTTTTGTTGTAAAAACGCCTGACTAGCGACATTTTCTATTTTGTCTCAAGCTTATTTTTGTATATGTGGAGATGGACAATGAGGATATCGGAACACTAATTTTGGATTACTTTGGAGTGACCGAAGACGGTCCGAAGGTAATAATTCTCCCATCGCCAACTCCTCTATTTTTGTTGTTTTGTTTATCAGAGGCATTTCAAACTTAACCATGATAATGCATTTGTCAACTCTTGTCGCTCTTCTTCTATTTTGATAACTGCGATTATTGTATGTCTTGACTCCAATAAGAGTTCTTACACAGGTTGAAAAATCACCCACTGCATCTCTAATTCGGGATATATATATAATAGTGATATCATGAACAAAGAGCCACTTGAATCTTGAATCTCTGATTTGATTTCATATTTCTTAATATTTATTTGACTGCTTCTGGTGTAATTTCTATTTACATCCTGAGATTTATATAGGTCTTGGCTTACACGGGACATGAAGATACTAAGAAGTTTATGCTTGATGGTGAAGTCACACTTGATAATATTAAGGTCAATGTCTCCTACGCCCATATCTCAAACAACATTACGATCGCATCATTCGGCATAATCACAATCTTCTAACATTCACATTGGTTTGTTTTCTTGAGTCAGAAATTTGCTGAGGATTTCTTGGCAGGCAAGCTTAAGCCCTTCTACAAATCGGACCCGATACCTGATACCGTAAGTCGTCACACAGTTTCCAGCTCCAGCCTATATCTATTGGCCATCGGCATCTCTGATCCAGCATCCATATTATCGTTGATGTTCGTAGAACGATGGGGATGTGAAGATCGTGGTCGGAAACAATTTTGAAGAGATCGTCTTGGATGAGTCGAAGGATGTTCTTCTTGAGGTGAAACAATTGGTACTCTACGCCGAGACTACCCGTTCTCATTTACGATTTTGTTGTTAATTCAGATATACGCGCCATGGTGTGAGCATTGCCGAGAACTAGAACCAGCATTTAACAAGCTTGCGAAGCTTGTACGGGGTGTCGAGTCGCTAGTCATAGCGAAAATGGAAGGCACCAGAAATGAGCACCCTCATGCCAAGGTCATATGTTTCGATCAACTTGGTATTTGATCTTCGATGCACATATAAATGTTAAAAGGTCCTTATGGGCGGCTATTGTATAAATTCAATCGAACTTTCTGGATGAGTTTTAGGCAGACGTGAAGCAGGTCTTCATGCTCGACTAAATGTTTCAGGCTGATGGTTTCCCCACGCTGCTCTTCTATCCAGCCGGAAACAAGAGTTCTGACCCGGTAAGTGAATCGTAGTTGTACTGTTGATGCCTTGTGCTTCTCTTGCTTTCTTGTTTACCATCATTCCAGGATGGATATCATGACCTTCGCTTGTTTACTTCCACACTGCAGATGTTAGTCGATACGGATGGAACCCTGAAGGCACTGTATAAGTTCATCAAGAAGCACGCGAAGATCCCGTTCAAGATCGAAAGGCCGGCGTCGGTCTCCGAGGAATCAGCTTCTTCCGTGGGTGCGAAGAGTGCCGGCACGGGTGTGAAGGAGGAGCTGTGATCCTTCCAAGCTGTTGTTGTTGTTCATGCAAACAAACACAAAGGGGAGCAGTAACACAGTTGTGTTGCTGCAGTTCCCCCGGCATGGAAACTTTGGCTGGTGAGTCCTGAGCATGCATTAACATGTTGTTCCTGTCAAAGCAGTAGACTTCAGCCCAACTGCAAGAAGAACAAAACTCCCTCCTTTTCTCTATCTATAGCCAAACCTACCGTTCCTTCTTTATCGTGCTTTGGATGTGCGGCAAGAAATGAACATCCGGAATGTGTTTAAGAAAGATATTTTGATCAACAACTCCATCACGACATCATCATCACAATTCCAAGCCTGGGATCCAACTTGACCAAAAGGGGTACAGCATAAAAGTGAAGACCATGCAACCATTTATTTAATCGATGATTTATTGACTATTGGTTGAGGTGGGCAAACACAGCTCTCAAAATTAATTGAAGATAGCAACCTAACTCGTTCACTTTGTCAACCCAAATTATGATCTATATGGGCTTTATTCTTTCTCTCTCTCTCTCTCTCTCTCTCTCTCTCTCTCTCTATATATATATATATATATATATATATATATATATATCCATTATCGTTAAATAACAATACATAATTTGATCAAGGATGAGATGGAACACATGGAGCGGGTGCGGGTGACGAGATAGAGCGCGTAGGGAAAGCAGCCAATGAGAGGGCGCGGAACACCCGCCTCCGCTATCCGCATCTCCCATCCGCTCACCACGCGCACGGTGACCCCACCGACTTTTAATAAAAAACAAGAAGACTGTAACTTCTCCCAGCTACCCGTTCAATGATTGATAACATTAATGTGGGACCCACAACAACTGTCAGCCAAGTGAGACGCGTAACGTTTGCAGGTCGTAGGAAAAGAGAGTGCTTGCGAACTCTTCTTTTCTTCGGGCCCACTTGCACAGCAGCCGACGGCCACACCGCTCTATCTCTCTCCCTCGTTTCGACGGCCTCTTCTGACCATTCCATTGCCATCTCCACGCAAGGAAGAGGAAACCGAGAGGGGAGAGACGGGGAGGGAGGAGAAGAGACGAAGCGATACGACGCACGCCGGTGCTCTTCCGCGCTTCCTTCTTTCCCCGATCTCAATCACTCGCTTGGAATTTCTCGCACCCCTCTCGATCGATCGACAAGAAAGAGATCCATTTTATTCGCCTTGTTCTTCTTCTTGACTGTGGAGGAACAGGGTTTTGATCTGTGTTTTATTGCTGCTGGAGTCTGTAATGGCGGCTACGAGCGGAGTGGCGATCACCTTCGCGGGGGCGGGGAAGGCCGAGGCTTTCCTCCGGAGGAGCTCTTCCTCCCGGTCGCCGTGTTCGATTGGATCTTTCGGCGGCCCCGCGTACGGTGGGAGCCGGAGGGTTGCTCCTCGGAGGAGCCCTCGCTGCGAGGTGCGGTTGGATCTCGAAGAGAAGTCGAAGTCCGCGTCGGCGTCGGCGTCCGCCGGAGCCCTCGAGCAGTTCAAGATCTCCGCCGACCGTAAGCCGCTTGCCCATTCTCCTTTCACCTCTTTCTCTATTAGAAATGAATGGCTTCGTTCTTTCGACGAATAGAAGGTCTGCAGAACTTGCAGAATTTTCTGACAGGAATTTCTAATTAATTGAGTACGTCTGGTGGTTGATGTGATGAAATTAATGTACACGGATGACATTATCTGATTTTTTTTTTATTTAGGATTAGTATATTTTGATCAATATCACGACGAGATGGCGATTACTTGATGCTTGTGGAAATGCCAACAGAAATGGGATCTTAGACTGGTCTGTGTTTATGTTTCCTGTGCCCTTTCTTGATTTCTTGGAACTTCTCTAGGCACTATCGATTCACTAATTCTGGCATCAGTTCAGTTCTTGTTGTAATAGGAAAATAGTAGCTGGATTTTCGTAATCGAAAACATTGCTCCGAAATTTTTTTGTTTTTAAAGAAGAAATTTCCATCATATTCAATGAGAAACTATCACATGTGCAACAATGCACTAACCAATTCGGATGGTTATTTTGTTAATGATGATCGGAAAAGAAGCATCATAGGTGCTGCTGTTGCAGATGCTTCAGCTGTCTTCTTTCTTTGAGAAACATGCTTTTCACATCTAGGATTGTTTTTTTCTTTTTTGTGTCTATTATTTTGTAGCACCTTTAAGTTCCTGATAGACCTGTTTCCTTACGGGTAAATAATTTCTTTCTATTATCATCTCTTGTGTTTGCCTTGATATATAGGCTATTTTTTGAGTCATGCAAGTGAAACTTCTCTCACATGAATTTCCTCACAAAGGTTAACAGTGCAAGCGTTTTGGCAGCTCGGGGATAGTGATAAAGTTAGTGGACTCTGATGATTAGTGAGCACAATCCATTAATGTTCTTCTGCTTCATCTTTTTGCAGGATATATGAAGGAAAGGAGCAGCATAGCTGTTATAGGTCTTAGTGTTCATACAGCTCCAGTCGAGATGCGTGAAAAGCTTGCTGTTCCAGAGGCACAATGGCCTCGTGCTATTGGTGAATTATGCAACTTGAATCATATCAGTGAAGCTGCAGTTCTCAGTACATGCAACAGAATGGAAATATATGTAGTTGCTTTGTCTTGGAATCCTGGAATCAGAGAAGTGATGGATTGGATGGCAAAGGTAGCTGTTTTCACTTAATCGTGTAAATTTTTTTTCTGACTTGTCATGCCATTCATCTTTCCCTTGCAAAAGCAAACTGGTATTCTGAGCATAGTTTATAGCCCATCAATTGTTAATCATGTGCTTTTGTATGGCATATTCAGACAAGCGGAATTCCAGTGGCTGAGCTCCGACAACATCTTTTTGTTCTTCTCGATAGTGATGCCACAAGACATCTGTTTGAGGTATCAGCAGGGCTCGACTCACTTGTCCTTGGAGAAGGACAGATTCTTGCTCAAGTTAAACAAGTTGTAAGAGTCGGGCAAGGCAGCCGAGGGTTGGGGAAAAATATTGACAGGATGTTTAAGGATGCCATCACAGCTGGAAAAAGAGTTCGCAGTGAGACCAATATAGCATCCGGTGCAGTTTCTGTAAGTTCAGCTGCAGTTGAGTTGGCTCTTATGAAGCTTCCAAAGTCCCATTCTGCATCTGCACGGATGCTGGTGATTGGAGCAGGCAAGATGGGGAAACTAGTGATCAAACATCTAGCTGCAAAAGGGTGCAAAAGGGTTGTGGTTGTGAACAGGTCAGTAGAGAGGGTAGATGCTATCCGTGAGGAGATGAAAGATATCGAAATTATCTACAGACCTTTTTCTGAAATGCTCACCTCCTCTGCTGTGGCGGATGTCATTTTCACAAGCACCGCATCTGAGACACCCCTATTCTTGAAAGAACATGTTGAAGCTCTTCCTCCGGCAAGTGAGGCAGTTGGGAGCGCAAGACTTTTCGTGGATATTTCAGTTCCCAGGAATGTAGGATCTTGTGTTTCCAATGTCGAACATGCTCGAGTGTATAATGTCGATGACCTCAAGGAAGTCGTGGAAGCCAACAAGGAAGATCGCCTGAGGAAGGCAATGGAAGCTCAATCGATAATCACACAGGAACTGAAACGGTTTGAGGCATGGAGGGACTCTCTGGAGACTGTTCCAACCATCAAGAAGCTCAGATCCTATGCTGATAGAATTCGGGCTTCTGAGCTCGAGAAATGTCTCCAAAAGATTGGTGATGATGCTCTAACAAAGAAATTGCGAAAAGCAGTTGATGAGCTCAGCAGCGGTATCGTTAACAAGCTTCTTCATGGCCCACTGCAGCACTTGAGATGTGATGGCACGGATGGCAGGACTCTGGATGAGACCCTTGAAAACATGCATGCACTTAACAGGATGTTTAGTCTTGACACTGAGAAAGCTATCTTGGAGCAAAAGATCAAGGCCAAAGTTGAGAAAAGCAAAAGTTAAAGGTCGTTCAAACATCATAGGACAACTAATCATCACAAGTCCTTGAGATTATTGTTGTATCTTTCAAAATTTTTTTGTCAGATTTTCTGCAAATTCTACTGCTACCAAGCCTCTGTTTCCATTCTCAACATCACTCACATTCAATTGACCTAATTCTTGTATCATCTTCTTAGAGAGACGGGAGAAACTAAACCCTCGAAGGCATCTAAACATTGCAAGCATTCTACGATGGCTATCTTCTTCGTGGTAGCTGGTCAGTATCATACACTTGTTTTGTGTACGTAAGCACATTGATCCTTGCATGTTTATTTTGATTTGTGGATTTGGATCCCGGTAACATGTTTCTTGATGACTGTTAACTGTGATAATGTTTCTGGTCATTTGAAAATATGAATTTGGAATTAGATCGGAAGGTCTAGATTCATCAAGTTTAAATTTGTTGAAATGCATATTAGCAACTTTTGCAGGCCAGCAGCAACCAAGAGGTGTTAGGATCTTAAGTGAATTAATGCTATGATAAATTTTAATCGATCTTAAAGTTTGATCATAAAATCTGTATCGAAAATATAATTAACTAAATAAAAAGTAAATAATCATAAACAAAAGTTATAAGTAAGAGAGAGAATATAAACCAATTTATAGTAGTTTGGTCTTCTTGACCTACGTCCATTTCTGATTTCTCTTCTCTCGAGGTCATTAATTTTCATTATCGATCTTTTTTCCAATAGGTACAGATCAATCATTTTTGCTAAATTTCATTTTTGCTAAATTTTTCTTCCTTTTATAGGCTTAAGAGAGAACTTGCATGCTCATTTTTTTATAAGAGATTTCTCACATTCTGCAACTTAGTATCATAACTAAACTTATGAAGGAGGAAAAAGAAAGCTATAATACTTCACAAACTCAGGAATGGATGCTCCATCAATCAAGCCTGAGTGAGGTATTTATAGACCCCAGAAGACTTTAAGAATGAAGCTAAAAAAATTCAAATCTCTAAAATTTGGAGGTACGAGTGATACTATCGTTAATATTAGATGATATCATCATCGCAACTTTTGCTATTATAATTTTGGACTTTAGCGGTACTACTACTACAAAGTTTGAATTATGGGTGGCACTACCATCTATCATAGACAATACCATTATCGGAAAGGCTGACAAGCATAAACAATTATTTATTGATAGACTCAAGTAGTACTACCGCTTAGGCCTGGTGGTACCACCTCCCAGTTTTGCTTTAGGCCACAAATTTGGCATTCTAAAGTTTTGTTTTAAGCTCACTGATTTTTTTTATAAGTTGACATTATTTTGGTTTAATATCAACTCAAATTGACCTAAAATAATCTTATCTTGACAAATCAATGACATATTTACAAAGCTTTCGACATGTTGTATGCTCTTTCTGTTGAATCTCGGATTTTGATGATAAAATCAATTGATATGTTTGTGATCTAATCTGTGTTATGAGTGATGCTGGAAGCTTCGATCATGTAGAGATAATTAAAACAGGAAGAATCATGTTGGGTCTAAGTGGAACATGTTAGAAGATTGGATGTCGAGCCGAAGGATCGGTCGACGTTTCAACAGAAGGCTTCAGGCCATGGGTTCGAGCATTGGGCCAAGAAGAGCAAAAATTACGACAAGGAAATCAAAGTTGCGGAGGTCAACTGGCTGATTGGGCACTAGGCCGCAAGAGAGGACGATACGCCAAAAAATCAAAAGAGGCGTCGATGAACCAATGACATGCCAGACAATATTTGATTTAGCTTTGCAATAATTATCTAGATCGAAATAGGTTTTAGGCATAATTTGGTTAGAATTGGGCCAACTCAATTATGGTCTAATTGGGCCCAAGTTTGGGTTGTGCTGGACCAAGTGAAAGGCCCAAACAGTAACCTAAATTGGTAGAACCGTCGGTGGCACAATCTTTGAGACTATGTCAAGTGGTGGTACCGCTAGTCTTGGTAGTGGTATCACCCAAACACAGTCTCCAAGAGACTATCAGTAGGTGGTACCACCCAGTGTCAATGTTGTAGGTGGTGGTATCGCCCAACACAGGTGGTGGTATCGTTAGTACCTCGAAAACCGAGGATGAAATACTTTTAGGCTCCAAGTTTGAATCCATTTGAGGCCTATAAATACCATCTCATCCCTGGTTAACACACACAAGCATAGAGAACTTAAAAGTGGGAAAACGCTATAGCAATCACTTAAGAGATCTCCTCTAGTTCTAAGTTTAGAATTCTATTTAAGGAGGAGTGAGTGCTTGTAAAAGGTTGTCTCCTAAACTTGTGAAAAGGAGAAGAGGAGTGTAAAAGGGTAGTTGATATTCACCTATTGAAGGAAGATCGATAGTGGAAGCCAATAGCCTCGAGTGAAGAGGAATCGAGAGTGGATATAGGTCATGATGACTGAACCACTATAAAAATCTGGTTTGCATTTCTATTCTACTCTTTACTTTAATTGCAAACTGAATTATTACTTTCACTACCTTACAAATACACTTTTAAGTTAACATCTTTCTGAAACAGTTTTTGAAGATTTTTGACTTGATGTAATTTTATCTGCTACACTAATTCACCCCTCCCTCTTAGTGCTGACTTGATCCTAGTAGTTGGTATCAAAGCTATGTCTTTTCTCATTTGGTTTAACACCCAAGAGAAATGACTCGTTTTGGCTTTCAAGAGGGCTTTTCTATCGTTTGTCCTCCTATGTTCAATGGGACGAACTACACTTATTGGAAAACTTGGATGAGAGTTTTCTTGCTTTCTTTATATTTGAATTTATGGAATATTATTGAAAATAGATTTCAAAAGTCTTCTCTTCCAATGAACGATTAGAATGATTTAGAGAAAAAGACTTTTTCTTTAAATGCTAGAGCTATGAACGCTATATTTTATGCTTTGGATAAAAATAAATTCAATCGAGTTTTTATTTGCGAAACAGTTTATGACATTTGGCATATACTTGAAATTATACATGAAGGCATGAGTAGGGTTAAACATTCTAAATTTAATCTTTTGATGCATGATTTTGAGTTGTTTCATATGAAACCAAGCGAAACCGTTAGACACATGTACACCCGTTTTACGGATGTCATTAATGGTTCAAAAAGTCTTGGTAAATATTTTTCTAATTTTGAACTTGTGAATAAAATATTGAGATCCCTTCCAAAGAGTTGGGACTCTAAAGTAACAGCCATTCAAGAGGCCAAGGATTTGAATAATTTTTCATTAGAAGAACTTATTGGTTCATTGATGACATATGAAATGACTTGAACATTTACACCAATATATTTTTCTCTTCTTCTTTCTTATTTATAATGACAGAAGGGGGAAAGAAAATAGCTAGCATCTCAAGAGAACCAAATTTGCTAGCTTGAATGATAAACTTAGACATGTTAGATCTCTTAAATGTATAAATTCTTCTTATACATTTTTCGGATCATGATATTGATTTCTCAATTTTTAGACTTGAATTTTATTTTTAAATCTAGATTGTTTCCTATCATTCCTTCTATATACAAAAGAAGAGATATGTCAAAAATCATGACTTGAATTTTTGATGATTGGAATAATGATTGGAATATTGATGTAAATTTGTTATTTATCTTTGTTATGCTTTGAAAATTATTGTAAAAGGAAAAAGATTTACAAAATTATATCCTTCCCTTCCTTTTGAAAATAATAATGGGAGAGAAAAATTGTTAGCTTGTGATAGCAGATAAGATTTTCCTAACTATATGAAGAAATATCTCTACTTTGTTGAGAGAAATCCTCTATTCTATTGAGGGAAATCCTCTCTCCTAATCTGTATAAATAGGAGAGGGACATGAGAGGGACATGTTAATGCATTTAAGCTTCTTCATTTAATCTTCTTCAATAAAGCTTCTTTAATAAAGCTTCTTCAATAATTCTTCTTGTCTTCTATTCTTTCCAACATGGTATCACCTCCACGACTATCAAAGCTTGCCATTCACCATATCCCTTGTCTCTGCAAAGTAGAGAAGGGGGGAACTCTTTCTCGCCGGGGGAACTCTTTCTCGTCGGACTCACTTCCCCGTCGGACTCCCCTTCCCATCCGCTGTACGACGAGTGATGCCTTCGCTGCTACCCCAGCCGTTGCCATGACCACACCCAGCGTTGCCATTAGGTGCAACCACAATAATGAGGGCCTATTTTGGTGCGGCCGGCTACTCGCCCTCGACAGTAGATCCCTCTCCAACCCCTGCCTGCTCCTTCCCTCTTCTCCTCCATGCGACTTTCTTCTTCATCGGTGGCGCCTACACCAACCCCAGGCTCGAGTTGTCCGCCGCCATAGCATCGTCTTCATCAGGCGATGATTTGCATCAATCACAGCCCGCTGCCTCACTGTCAATTGTCGATCCTCAGCTCCTGCTAAGAGCAAATCGCTACAGGTTTCTCCACCAAATCGTTGTAGCTTCCTCCTCTACTATAGCTTTCTCTTCTATTGTAGCATCGCTGCAGCTACCTCCTCTGTTGTGGCATTACTGCTCCTCTGTTGTAGCTTCCTCCTCTGCTACAGCTTTCTCCTCTACTGCACCTCTACTGTAGCTTTCTCCTTTACTGTAGTATCGTTGCAACTTCCTCCTCTGCTGTAGCTTCCTCCTCTGTCATAGTTTTCTCCTCTACTGCACCTCTACTATAGCTTCCTCTTCTACTGTAGCGACCTCCTCTGCTGCACCTCTACTACAATTTTCTCCTCTACGGTAGCATCGTTGCAGCTTCCTCCTCTGCTGTAGCATCACTGCAACATCGCTGCAGCTTCCTTCTCTGCTATAGCATCACTGCAACATCGCTGCAGCTTCCTCCTCTGCTGCAGCTTCTTCCTCTGCTACAGCATTGCTATAGCTTTCTCCATTGCTGCAGCTTTATCCTCTGTTACAACCGCTGCCGTCACCGTCGTAGCCGCAGTAATAGCAATAGCAACAACAGTAATAGCAACAACAACAACAACAATAGCATCGATATGCTCTTGCCTTACTCACGAAGCCTCTCGCTTGTAAACTGTTTGCTTTGTATCAATCCAAGATTAGTATCCTTGATAGGAGCACCATCTTGCAGGGTCATGATAGCAGATAAGATTTTCCTAACTGTATGAGGAAATATCTCTACTCTGTTGAGGGAAATCTTCTATTCTGTTAAGGAAAATCCTCCCTCAAAGGAGAGGGAATGTTAATGCATTTAAGCTTCTTCAATAAAGCTTCTCCAATAATTTTTCTTGTTTTCTATTCTTTCCAACAGCTTACACATTTCCAAGGGGAGAAAGAACTTGCTATCTTGAACATCACTAAGAATTACTAGCTTGCAA